ACCCTCCCTTTGGCTAAAGGGGGGTTTAATTGTTTGCACTAAATGATGGATGTTTCCTCCAATATGGATAAATTTGAATTAAAATTTTAAAAAAATTTTCTTTTCCTATTTTAGCTGTTGTAGTTTTTTAACTTGTATAATTATTTTTAATAAGTATTAGCAGTTGCAGAAGAATTACAAATTTTAAAAAAAATTTATTTTGATAAAATTTATTTATTTGACTTGAATTATTATTTGGTTATAGTTTAGATTTATATTTTATTGATTTTAAAAAAAAGGGGTTGCATTGATGGAGAATTTTTAAAATATAATTAAATGAGCCGATTTTATATTTTCAGTCTTTGGAAGTACTGATGATTGAAAATTTCACCGCCAAAATGAAGAGTCAGATGCAAAAAAATACAAGGTATATCTTTTATTATAATGGCAGAGATACTTGCCTAGTTTTTAAAGTTTTGCTAACTAACCTCTGTGAGTTCAAATCTTGATGGGGACTAAGAGGAACCTTTTTGGAGCCCAGGTTACGGAACGTCAGTGTTCTAAAAATTCAGAAAACATCTGGTTAGTGCCTAAAAATAATGCAACAGAAGGCACCTGAGGTGTTTCCTACCAGTTTAAGCTGGAAAAGCCTCACATGACCTATAAAATTAAAAGTCACTTCTAAAAATCGCAGTTCTTTACATGAATTCAGTATTTCAGCCATGGTTTTGGTTGAAAATGTGTTGGCTTTTAAAAATTTTATGCATTATATTTTCAGATTGTAGATCAAATAAAATCCGGCTTTTCTTTAATTTATTTTTTGACATAAAAAATTAATTAACTTCAATTTTTAAAAACAATTTTGAAAAAACCAAGTAAGGGGAGGGCTTTTTTTGGAAATTTTGATGAAAAAAACTAAATGAATCATATTGTTTTATTTCGGGTTTCAAAAAGAAGAAAATCCGGCAGTTAAAAAGAAGTTTTTTGAAAGGGAAACCAGGGTTTAAAAGGTACGAAATTTTAACAACCCCATTTAAAAAAGGGATTAACAATGCTAAGTCTGAGTCATCTTTCAATTTTTATATTGTTTCCACCCAAAAATAAGTTACTGGTTTGGAAAATAGGGGTTTTTTTCCAAACCCTTTTTTAAACCCAGTACAAAAAAAAATTTTACTTTTTTAAAGCCAATTGACAACAGAGTTGGAAACCATTAAATTTTGTTTGTAGTTTGAAAACTCAAAATATTCTCAATTCCATTGTAAGATTGTAATAGTCAATTTGTTTAGTTGTAAAAAGTTTATCTCGATTTGATTTCATGGTGTCAAAAAAGATGGTTGAATTGCACGTTTAAGTATGATAATATCAAAGGGACAAGAGACTTAAACTTTACTTAAGATATTTCCTGATTTTTTCAATATTTACCTCCCTTGCCAAAAGTGGCAGCTATTTTGGGGGTCTATTCTATATGATATAATTGACAAAAAATGAAAAAATCAATGGGAGGTAATAATTGCTATATGAAAAGCATCTATAGAGGTATATTGAAAATTGTTTAATGCCAATGGTGTCATATAGTTTTGGTCATACTAAATGTAGAATATGACTTTTAGTTTTGTTAGGCTATTTAGGGTAGGAGAACACACTTGATTGTGGGTGTGTGTGTGGGGGGGGGGGGTTACAATATCTTGATGGGAGTGGGGTAGGGGCACACTCTTCATGGGTGATACACTCTTGGGTGATAGGGATACATTCTTGATGGATGGTAGGGGTACACTCTTGATGGGGGCTTGGGTCAGATCACATTGTTTTATCCCCGTGGGTCATAGCACTGTAAGAAATATGAGATATAAATTTATGTTTTCACACCCATGACATTTACTATGCATGTGATAGTAACAGACACCAATGTTGTGTTGTTATATTTCAGCCATCCCATGCCGAGAAAGCTGCTAAACCAGAAATTAAAAAGTACATGATGGAACTAAGCAGGACAAGAAAAGAAGCTAAAAGTATATACTTTTGTCTCATTTTGTCTATGCTTATCAGCTGTTGAATGAAAATATTATCTCTAAGTGTATAATAATCTTTTTCATGAATGGAATAGTTTTATATTTAATGAATTCAGTCTGTATTTTTAATTTTGAATATTTTTTTTTATGCCACCGCAGCATCTGCGATGCGGTGGCATATAGCGATTCACCTGTGTGTATGTATGTGTGTGTGTTTGTGTGTGTGTTATAAAGATTATATAGTGAATTTAAAAAAATCTTCTTGTGAAAAACCACTAGTCCAATTTGAACCAAACTTGGCAGGATTGTTCCTTGGGTGAAGGGCTTCCAAAGTTGTTCAAAGAATTTCATTCCATGCAGAAATCTGGTTGCCATTGCAACCAAAAGGAATTATAAGAATAAATTTAAAAAATCTTCTTGTAAACACCCAAAAGGCCTAGAGGTTAGATATTTTGCATAAGGCATTGTCTGGTAGATCTCTAACAAGATTGCTCAAATTATAGCCCTGGGGTCAAAATTGGCCCAGACCAGGGGGTCATTGATTTTCACTATGTACATATAGTAAAAACTTAGAATACCTTCTTGTAAAAACCCGAAAGGCCTAGAGCTTAGATATTTTGCATAAGGCATCATCTGGTAGACCCTTACCAAGATTGTTCAAATAATAGCCCTTGGGTCAAAATCTGCCCTGCCCCGGGGTCATTGATTTTCGCTATATGTACATATAATAAAAACTTAAAACACCCTCTTGTAAAGACCCAAAAGGCCTAGAGCTTAGATATTTTGCATAGGGCATTGTCTGGTAGACCTCTACCCAGATTGTTCCAATTATAGCCCTGGGGGTCAAAATCGGCCCCGCTCCAGGGGTCATTGGTTTTTCCTTATATGTATATAGTAAAAAATCTTCTAGCAATTGACAAATGCTAGAGGTTAGATATTTTGCATGAAACATTGTGTTGTAAACCTCTAGCAAGATTGTTCAAATTATAGCCCTGGGGTCAAAATTGCCCCCGCTCCAGGGGTCATTAGTTTTTCCTTATATGTATATTGTAAAAAATTATAAAAAAATGTTATTATCTGAAGGTACAAGGCTTACAGCTTTATTATTTGTTAAATGATACCATCTAAAGGTACTCTACCAAAATTGTTCAAATTTTGCCTCTTGTGTCAAAATTAGCCCCGCCCTTGGGAGCCATAGGTTTATCTTATATGTATAGAGTTAAAACTTAAAAAATCATCTTCTCTACATTTACCAAGGATAGAGTTAAGATATTTTGCATGAAACATTGTGTAGTGAACCTCTAGCAAGATTATTCAAATTATAGCCCTGGGGTCAAAATTTGGTTCCGCCCCAGGGGTTCATTGATTTTCATTATGTACATATAGTGAAAAAAAAATTTTTTGTTCTGAAGGTTCAAGGCATAGAGCTTTGATGTTTGATAATGTAATATCATCTATAGGTCCTCTACCAAAGTTGTTCAAATGTCAAAAATTGGCCTGCCTGGGGCAGTGATTCTCATTATGTACATGTAGTAAAAAACAAAAATAAAACAAATGTTATCTGAATTGGAGAAAGCTATAGCTTGAAATGTTGTTTGGTGACCTGTATCAAGATTGTTATTAAACCCTTGGGTCAAAAATTATGCTCTTGCCCAAGGGGACAGTGACCTACTTCTTGTCCTTTGATGTACAACCAATGACATTTTGACCATGGCACAGTTTTTAGTTGTAAAATTGAACTTTGACCTAGATTTTGGTGATGTGAACTTCTTTCTTGTTCTTTGATGTACAGCTATGAAATTTGAACCATGCAGTGGCATAGCATTTTTCTCAAATGCAATCTTGTTTTAAGTTAATTGTCTACTTAATTGTTAATGTTTAAGTTTGTTTTATAGTTCAAAACGAAATAATTCTGTGTATGTAAAGCAACATTCATTTGAGCTGTGTCCCGCCAAAACCAACGTAATGTGTTTGCGACAAACATGGATCCAGATCAGCCTGCACAGTCTGATCAGGAACCATGCTGTTGGCTTACAAAATCTATTACAAGTAGAGAAACTGATAGCGAACAGAATGGATCCTGATCAGACTGGGCTGGTCTGGATCCCATTGCTGGTCGCAAACCCCTTATTTGTTGGTTTTTGTCAAGACATGGCTCATTCATTTGTTTTGATTTTATTAAGTTTAGTTTAATTTGAGAAAAAGCGACTGTTTGAAACACTTTAAAGGGAAATTTTTAAAAGTTTTAAAAAATGTATATATTATTGATTAAAAATTTTTATTTTCATAACTACCCTTTTTAGACTTTCTGAAAACCCCAGTTTTAATCAGGGTTTCCTAAAAGTAAATTTTACTGTTTGATTAAAAAAGGGATAAAAAATCAGTTTAAAAATTTTTAGTTTTATGTTGTTAGACTGAAAAAGGAAGCGGGGATGGGTTCAAGGTTTACGTCATGGGGGCGGAGCGTCCTCAAACCCGGGGAGGGGTACAGATCCCCCAGATGCCCATAAATGCAGATCCAAGCATGTTTTGACAACTTTTATGTCATATTAAAGAAAATTAAAGAAAAGAAAAGGATTTCCAAAAAAAAACCCGAAAAATATAGAGGTAAATTATTAAGTTATTTTTGTAAGTTACTTAACATGTTCTCTAAAAAAAATAATGGTGTAGTCTATAATTGTCCTATAGGCATCTGTTGTATTTGAAAGTTACTTAATGTGTTCTCAAAAGATGTAGTCTATAATAATTGTCCTATAGGCATCTGTTTATCAAGGCATTTAGCAAAAGTATCTCTTGATTATATTTGAAATATTATTTTAAAAAAAGGGTTTCTAGAAATTAGAATATGGTAATTTCTTGAAAAAAGGCTGGTAGGTTTGTCGGTATATTTTCATATATAATTGGGTTTTGATATTAATACCAACTATCATGCTATATTTGCTTGAAAGCAACTGTTTTATTATATGACTTTACAGAAGAGGAGGTTAAGACGATGTTTTATGTATATTTCAGTTGATGAAACATGAGCAGGTTCAAGACGAGAAGTTAGCAGTACAAAAAGCTCTGCTACATTTTGAAGGAATCCATGGACGTCCGGTAAGATTTTTATAGTCACCTGAAACCTGACATGATAAATATTCACACCGTTTGCTTTATAAAATACTTGATAAGCCAAAAATCTACTTGTCAAACTTAGGTTGATTTTGTATATTGTTCTTAAAGTGAAAAATATATTTTTTTTGTATAAAGCAGTTGTACATCAACCATTGGAATGAAAAGTGCGTTAAACTTCTTTGGTAAATTTTCAGAAATCAAGGGACGAGAAAGACTTGATGCGACCATTATATGATAGATACCGAACTATAAAAAGATTGCTTTCACGACAACCAATGTCTGTAAGTATGTTGTCTAGAGACATGACTTCATTCTTTCCTTTTTCTTTAGTCAAGAACTATTCAGAAGTTCACCAACTCTACAGATTTTGTACCAGTAATATTCCAAATTGCCTGTAACAGTTTACCCAAGTGTAAAGGTAAATTAATGTTTTGCTAGTGTGATATTATAATATATAATTTGTTTGTGATTTCAGCCGCGGGGAAACTTGGAGTTACAGTCTGTACCAGAAGATAAACCTATTGATATCCATTCAAAATATGTAAGTTTTTACCACATTATATAGATAATCTGAAATATATACATTTATAAAACTTCTATAAGCATTATTTCTAGGTACATATTTTTTAGCTTTTCTTTATGATGTGTTTTTGTAAAACATTCCTTTTTTACTAGAATTGAAAAAAGAAATATTTTTCCTGAAATATAAAATGTTGTTTTTTTTCCCTGATGGAAAAAAAAAGTAGTTCTTATTCCTTGAATATAGAATGTTTCCGCATTACCAATGTAAAATGTTCATTTTCTTTCTCTAAATGTAAATGTTTATTTTTTCCACGAATGTGAAATGTTTTGTTGAATTTTTTCCATGTAATGTAAACTGTTTATTTTCTTCCACTTAAAGGATAATAGTAACATGAACACAGAAAACAGACCGGCAGTGTCAATCCGAGTACCGACAGCTGTAATGGAAAATGACGAGGATGATGAGCAGGTGGCGCCACTGGGCACCATGGAATTTGCTGTAACTAGGGATTTTTCAATATTGAAACAACGGCCAATATCAGTGGATGATCAGGGCCCTCATTCTCCGAAAGCTCGGAGAAAACTAGAGCTGAGGGAAGACATAGAAAATAGAAATACAACTCAATCAAATCTCCATGAATTAGCCGTGTATGTAGAAAACATTCTTTGTTTATTTATTTTTTCTTTTTAAAAACATTTTTAAAGTCGCTTATTTTTTCACTTTTTTAAATTCCCAAATTTTGGAAACCAATGTTTTTTACCTGGGCCTTTGCTGAAAAGCTCTTTTAAAATTAAAGTGACTTTTTTCCCAACCCATGGGAAGGGTGAAAGTCAAAAAAAAGTTAAACATTTTTTCAAAATTTTCCCCAATTCAATTTATTAAAAATTTTAACCCTTTTTAAAAAACCAATTAAAAAATCCATAAAAAAATTAACTTTTATATATTTTTGTACATTATATTTTTCCCCTTTAAAAACATTTCAAATATTTTCCCCCAATTTATTTTGTTTTTTAAAAATTTTTTTACCTTTTAATAACAACCAGTTTAAATTAAAAATTTTTTTTTTTAAAAAAAGTCTTTTAAAAGTCAATTTGACAATGACAAAATGAGCATAATGTCACTTTAAATGGTCCTGATCTTTATCAGTTTAATTTCCTTAATTTATTACAATAGAATACATGAAAATCACATATGATTTTAAATCAGGAATCAAAACTCTTGTTTAGCTAGTAAAAACACTAAATAGATTTTGTTCTGATAAAATATTTATAAAAACATTTTAAGATTGCATGAAGGTTATATTCAATTGTTTAATATGTTGTTTTTTTTCTAGGCCTGAACTTCAAGATGAGTTGATTAGATCTCGAAATTCAAAGAAAAGATTACGGAAAACACTTCGTGATTTTGAAGAGGCTTTTCACAGAAAAACTGGGCGGTAAATATATTGATATAAAAATTGTCTTTGAATTAATCCATTAAAATTCTGTAAGAATATGTGGAATTGTATTTCCTTTTTTTTTAAATCAAATATGAAATGGATTTTGATTTTGGTTTTTTAAATTTAAGGAAAAACCCAGAAAAAGATCTTAATTCGGGAAAGAATGTGAGCTTGATAGGTTCTATTTGGTGGGAAGGGGCAAGTCATTATTTGTGCTACCTTAAAAGGGTCCCCTTTTCCAAAGGGGAATTTATCCTTTAAATGGACTTGCCCCATCTTTTAAATTTCGGGAAAAAAAAACCCCTTTTATCTTTTAAAGGGGGAAAAATTTTCAAAAAAATGTACTGATTTGTTTAAACCCAACAGTCCTGATCTTTGATCAAAGGGCACAGATTTTGCATTTTTAATTTTTGGCTCCCACTGGTTTTGGATTTTATTAAATTTAAACCTGGCAGGGGTAAAGTTTTAAAACCCAATCCTTTGATTTTATTTAAAGAAAATTTGGGTTGAGAAAATTAAACAGAAATACCTATGCAAACAGAATATAATGAATATAAGGTAAGATGTGATGAAATTCAGTTAAAATTTCAACTATCGCTACTGAAAAATAAAAAAAAAACTGTGTGTGACTATTTCTATAGCTGTAGTAAATGAATATTTCACTCCCTTATGACCATATTGTCATATTTCATTAAGTCTAATCCTTTTTTGAATCAGTGAAACTGATTACAAAAACCGCTTTTTCTAAATAAAAAGGATTTTTTTGCATCTTTTCATTGTGATATTTTGCCTTTTTTCTTTTCTTTAAATACTTTGTTTCTTTTTAACCTACATATTAAATTGTATTTGTTTTATGATATGAACAAATACAATTTTTAAAAAAAGTGATTAACTATTTATAATAATTATTATATAACTTTTAATTTCAGCAAATAAAAGCCAGATTAAAGTTATTAGAAGCCCTATTGTCAAAACATCACCATCATTCTGATCTCTAGTCAAAGTATAGACTCTCGTAGTATGATCAGAGAGACGGACAGTTAGTGAACGGTTACGTTGTGATAAAACAGCCCTGAAATAAAAAATCTTGACCCATAGATATTTGGCTATATTCAGAAGCTGTTTGTCTTAGTGCCTAAATGTTTATGTAACACCAGCAAGCATCTTGTATATTACACACATTCACCTATTGTACAGTACAATTTTCAGTGTATTTGGCTTCCAAGTGTTAGCATATTCATTAGATGTGCATATACATGTACTGATACGTCATGGAAAGAGAGGAAGTTTGTAAGGGACACCTAAACGAAAGGTCTAAACATAACTTGTAGTGAAGTGGAAACACATGACTCATGATTGTGTTTATTTAGAATGAAGTATGCCGGTGACAGGTGAACATTTAAAAGTGCTAAGTAATAGTTGAGGATTCATGTTTTATTAGTTGTCATGGTGACCAGCTAGAGACATTTTATTTACAAAATAAGACTGAAAGAGAATTGGGTTTTTACTCCAATGTAAAAATAATGTACTGAAAGAGGGGATATATTTGTGATGTTAATTTGTTAAAACTGTAACTTGAGGGTGACTATTAGTGAATTGTTTTAGGGGGTTTCACTGATGAAAATATTGAGGGTACCTGTATTGGGTAAGAGTTGTGACTTTTAGGGTATGATATACATAAATGTTTGAATTAAGGGAACAAATTGATAGTGCCAAATGTCAAGTGATGTGTGAAAATAAGAAATATTTTGCCATAAGTCTACAAGATATATACATATGTAACATCATGCCTGATATTTTATATATACACCGTATTGTTTCTATTTAACGCCCACAGAGCTTTTTTCCCAAATGGGGAATATTATTCAATTATAAAATCATTATTCATTATAATGATCTAATATTTAATACAAGATTATTTTTTTAATGATTTTACATAACAAAATATGGTGGGGCGCTAATTAGAAACAATATGGTATGTACATTGTGCTTATTACAACTGTGTTATCATTAAGTTTTGTTTGAAAATTTGTTGAATTTTCATATAGCAATAATAATCTGTTCAATGTATATGCCAAGTTATATAAAGTATTATATGTACATGAGGTCTGCTTGGTTTTCAGACTCACATGGATGACATAAACACATACATTTTTATTACATTTAAGGCAGATACTTAAAAAATAATAATTTCTTTACATTGTCAATTTAAGAAGCATAAGTGTGAAATGGGAGGTTTGGTTTTTGTATGAAGAAAAAAAATTAATATAATCTATTAAAAAATTATGAAAATATGGACTTTTAACTGGTAATTATGCTGTGATGAAAATGATATTGCCTCAGTCATTGTTAGTTTTTTTATACACATCATATTCATCAGCTGAAAGTTCATTATTTGTTTTATTATAAATTCTGTAAATAGCTTTTATATGCATTTCAAATCTGCATCTAAGTAGAACTCAAAGCAACATTTTTTTAAGGTCTTGTCAAAATCATCCTAGCAATAGCAACAAAATAAATGTGACATCAAGTCATTTTATCGCATCCTTTTGCAGATTTCCCAAAAAAAATATTTTCAGGAAAAACTGATGAATTTTCATTGACAATTTGTTTTTTTTACCAGATAAAAAGTTATCTAAAAGGAATGTACTCTGATATATTAAGACCTATTACATTTTTCAAAATATTATGTCTAAACCAATCAGAGAAAGGCATTTCAAAGCTATTTATAGATAATATAAATAATAGACTTTAGGTATTTTTCATGTGGATTAAAAGATATTATACCAAACTAGGCAAATGTGGGTTTTTCCAAGCTTATTCCCTGGTACAATAAGACTTTTAATGTTAAAGCTTCACGATGCACTACTGGTCACAATAGATTAGTCAACCTGTTGTGCTTATTAAGCTGTAACTGTAAAAGTTGTTTTGTACTCCCAGATTTGCTGGGAAAACCCCAAAATATTTTAAATCCCGGAGTAATTCTATTGACCTATCTGTCTGTTAACAAATAAATAAGATGTTGATATTAAGATTTATATTACGAAATCCATTTGAAATGTTTACTGGAGATATATTCTTTTACCCTCACAAACTGTCTCTTGACAAACTGTTAAATTCCCGTCTCCTTTTAAAATTCATTTCATCAGTATATGATGAAGTAAATAAAAATTTATTGTAGATATTTTTTATTCTGTATTATTTTTCTTTATAAATGAATATGTTGAAGACATCATTTGAAAAACCTTAATATATGTACACATATTTATTCTTTCAAAATAATCATTAGTTGTACAATAGTTGATGCTTTAAGTTTCCTTTTTTCTTGTCGAATTTCTTTGTTATCTTATTCAAAAGCTTTACATTTAGTTTGTATTTACACAAGAAATTTTCGTCATAATAATTATATAAAAAAAAGAAATTTTATATTTTCATTTAAGTCCCGAAATTGCTTTAACCAGTATTATAATGTTCATGCCATAACCTAGAATTGTTTTAATTTACTATTTTCCAGATGGAACAATATAATTGGTCTGAGAAATAACCAATCACTTGCTGTTTGTCATCATTTAAGGTTATATAATATCATCTGGTGCTTTGGATATATATTTACTATTAAAACTAGAAAATCCCCAAAGCTTGAAAGTGTAATATAACCAGGGGAGTATTAATGCGACTTAATATCTTAACCAGGAAAAGAATTGGTGCTTATCAGTATCTGTTACAAAGAGAAATAACTCTTCCTCTCAAAAATATTCTCACTGTAGAAGAAAAAAAATTAACACAATAAAATTTGAATCCTGTTATCCATCTCACAAAATGTATAATAGAAAATTTTTTTAAATATTATTTTTGTATTTGACTGATTAAAGTCAGTGATATCAAAGTTCAATGCGTATTGGCATTCAGAAAAAACATTTGCCTTTGGCCATTTACAAATATATATCATTATGGCAAAGATCAATACATGTGATATAACTATAAACATAAATATATGTACAATAATACTATTTACGATATCAAGATAGTTTCTTGTTTCTTTTGTAAAATTTTGAGTATAAACTTTCATTAGAAGCTTTAGTTAAAAATTTATCTTATGAATGTTAATTTTTAGCTAATATATTTACTGAGTGTTATTTCAATGAAAGAACTGGTTTGTCAAGCCATGATGAAAATATAAAAATGTCTGTCTCATTAAGTCAGTGAAAATTATTATCATAATTATCAAAACTGATAAATTCAAATTTGGTTGTGTTACCATTATGTTATAATTAATGATTATATTTGCATACAGTAGAGACTGTGTTCAAGGTATTTATTATAAATAACAAAGCTATTTGTACCCAGTAGGTTACTGTAAGATAATGGTTACTCACATGTTACACGAGCTTATCATGATGTGGTGAATTTAGCAGGTTGCTAAGATATGATGAAAAATGTGTTGAAATCGGTGTTAAACACTGACAGATATACAAACAAAAATTTAACTTCTCGATGATGGTTATAATCATAGATTTATAAAAAAAAAATAAAATAAAAAAATAGAACTTACTAGAGATATAAACAGTTAATACACAAAGTAAAACTTCATTAACAATATATAAATAGAACTTATCTTAGATATAATTAGGGCAATTTCTATTTGATTATTAACAGAGTTATAAAAGGGCAGTTCCTATTTTGATTATTAACAAGAGTTATAAAAAGGGCTATTTCTGTTCTTATTATCTAATCAATTAATTAGTTTACCTTTGTTGTGTATAGAAGGATGTTTATTAGGCATTCATGCTACTTGAGAGATTCAGATTATTTTTTACATGAAAAAGAGAATAATGTTGGTTTACAGTTGTTAATGTTCCATATGAAAATTTGAATTCCTTCTGAAATTTTTTGTGATGATCTTGACTCAAAAAATATTGTTTCTAGATGTGATACCTTTTTAAAAAGACATTTGTATAGAAGTTAAATCATATTAAATTGTTAAAGGTCCATTATGTCTCAGAATTGCTTTTATTTTTATTCCTTGAAAAGCTTGTTTATTTTTGGTAACCTGTTATATATTCTAAAAGGTTACTCATTGGAGAATTACCTGAACCATTTTTACTTCTATTGACTTTTGGCAATTAGTGCACTTTTAGTAATTGAGTATTTTGTATGGAAGTCAAAATAATACTTTATGACTATATTCCTACTTTTATAACAATAATTTCAAATTACACACTACTTTCTTCATCAACAAAATTTAATATTAAATTGCTATAAAAGTAATGGTAGCCCTATCTAGAGAAGGGAAAAACTGATTGGTTTCTGAAGCATAATATGCCTTTTAAAACTCGGTGGTTATTGTACAGAGTGGTGAGAAATGACAGCATGGCCTCAGTTACATTTATGATGTACACAGATGGTTGATAAAGCCATGTTGTTGTAAAACTTATTGACTGATATATTGCATACAGGTAGTCCAGCATTCCATTATTATATGTTTTAATATCTTTATTTTATAATTTTAAGATGATTTTCTTTTTCGCATACAATAAGAAATTAGTGTTTTTTTGTTGTTTTTTTGTTTTGGTTTTTTTTTTCAAAATAGATCATAATTATTTGCATAAATAAGGAAAAGAATTTATATCAATATATATTTTTATTAATATTATTCTACTTTTGTTTTAAATATTGGCATGCTATAAGTGTGACTGAAACAGTGAAGTAAAAAAAAATTATTTACAGATTTATATAAAAGTATTTACAGTGAATAAAAAATAATGTACAAGTTCATAAAGAGGTATTAAAAATATGTAACAAAATATACATGTATGATGAATAGTAAGTACATTGTTGTATGTGGTGCCAGGAGCCAGATGACTTTTAAGTTATATAAATTGTTTCCCGGCTTGTTTGGGCAATGATCATTGGGCACAATAGATAGAAACAAGTTAAAGGGGTCATACAGATTTTATATTAAGATAAACACCTTTTATTTTGATTGCTCCCTATCCAAATTTTTTTTTTCTTTCTTGCTTAATAGAATTAGACATGTTGATTTGTTTATTTTATGAGCAAGTTTGTTTACATTAAAAGGTTGTGTATTGATGACGTATTATACAATAATGGATCAGTGTTATTATTTATTTACTTATATTATTAGATTAATGTATCAATAGATGAATGGTCTTCATCTGACCTGCTTATATTAATGTTTCAGTATTATATATCATGGAACATTTTTTAAAGCATGTTTTTATATTAAAGAAACGAAATGTTGCCCTATTGTTCTGTGAAAGATCTGACATTGGTACAACACAATATAGCAGTATATAAATAACACATAGGTTTGTGACTAACAGTAAACATATTATCCCGAGGAAAATACTGTTACCCGAGGCATTAGTCAAGGGTAACAGTATTTTTACAAGGGATAATATTTTTGCAGTTACTCACAAACATATGTGTTATTTATATTATTACTCAGAACAAATACTTCATTGGGACACTATTTCTATATGCATTTATCTTTCAAATTTATACTGTGAAAAAGTACTGTTACCTATGTAACAGTACAAAAATTATTAGTCACATAGTACACTTGAATTAGCAGTAAGAATAATTTCCATAGGCCTATGGGAAATTAACATTACAAAAATAGTGAGAGGTAATAATATAGTCTTTACCATTATGTATGGAAAAATGTATTTATACATGTAATATTTCCAATTTTGTACCCTGTTTTACCAACATTTAAGAATGAGGGGGGTGAAACATTGATTGTTCCTTATAGAATATCTGTTAGAGAGTGAGTACTCTTAAATGTATATTATACCTATAATCATTAGATTTTTATTAGGTGAAATAAAACTTGTTGGTGAAATATGTTTGGCCATATTTCCCCCGAAATTGTATGAAAGTCCTGTTACATGCTACAGTTATTTAGTTGTTTGTTGATAAATAGAAATTATTTATTTTATAAGTTTTACATTTTTTGACAAATACTGTATTAAAGAAAACAGTTGTTCAGTTATCTATATACAGTTCTTTGAAATAAATCACACTATATGAAATATTGCTTTCTGTGTCACTTGTATTTTATAACCATGTTTTTACTACAAAAAACTCCAGTAATCAGTATTTACCCATGTTCAACTCCCCCTTAATTTAAGAGATTTCAGCTTAACTTCCACAGAATGGTTACTATTATTCCCTGGCATATAATGTCGGGATTAATTGAATAGATCATAACGGTTATTTGTTTTAATCCACATATACATGTATAATATTGATGAGGAACCTTGTGTTTCTGATACTATTTCCTGTTATTAGTCCCCTACTGGTTTAACCGGAGGGGACTTTAGGTTTACCCTCCGTCCGTCTGTCTGTCAGTCCGTCCGTCTACAAAACTGGATCCCGCGATAACGCAACTGAAATTTTTTTTATGAAACTTGATATATGGATAGATGGCAGTATGGAGATTATGCACGTCTTTTTTTTTTCTTCCTATGTTGAAAATTCTGGTTGCTATGGCAACAAATAGTCTGAAAATATGGCAAATTTAACACATAAACTGGATCCAGTGATAACTCAAAAAAACTGAAAATATTTTTATGAAACTTGAAATATGTGTAGATGGCAGTCTGGAGATTATGCACATCTTTTTCTTTTCTTCCTATGTTGAAAATTCTGGTCTGGCGGGCGGGCGGGCGGGCGGCGTCCAATTTTGTCCGGAGCATATCTCCTACATGTATGGAGGGATTTTAATGAAACTTCATATAAATGTTCACCACTATGAGGAGCAGTGTCGCGCACATGAACCAGGTCTCTAGGTCAAAGGTCAAGGTCACACTTAGAGCTCATTGAAAAATGCTTGTCCGGAGCAAAACTTCCACATGTATAGAGGGATTTCAATATTACTTGGCACAAATGTTCACCATTGTGAGGCAGAGTGTCGCGTGCAAGATTCAGGTCCTTGCGGCCAAGGTCAAGGTCACACATAGAGGTCAAAGTTCAGATAAAAATATGAAGATGTGTATATGGACCATTTAGTCATCATTTATTGAGGGATTGTAACACAAATGGTCATTATCAAGACTATGGCTGAGATACATATAATTTAGGTCAATATATACAAGGTCAAGGTCACTAAAGATGATGAAATATCCAGATTTTGTAAATAGAATTAATCAAAGGGAGACAACAAAGTTATTACTTTGTTCATAAATGACTTACACAATTACTCCCCTTGATCTATTTTCACATTCAATTCTAAAAATAGAATTTAATCAAAGGGCATGAAATAATCCTCTTTCTTGGACTTGAGTATGTTGTAAAGAAAGTAACATTTATTTACACAATGTTTCATTCATTGGTCAAGATTCTTAACTGTGATAACTATGGTGTTCTGTAGACTTGGTATTTGTTCATAAAGATCATACAGTAATTACCTTATCAAATGTAAATACTTTCTCATAGAAATTTAATTATATTTTAATTTTCAAGTAAATATCAGTTCAGCTCATTCAAAGATTAAGAATTGTTATGAAATGTTATTTTTCCCTAGAATAAAATCTTAAATCAGAATTTTTTAGTTATTAAATTAATGTACTTTTTATACGCCCGTTTAAAAAAAGATAAAAATAGGAAGATGTGTAAAGGACGATTTAATCATCATTTATTGAGGGATTGTAACACAAATGGTCATTATAATGACTACGGCTGTGACACATGTACTTTAGGTCAAATATATGCAAGGTCAAGGTCACTAAAGATGGTGAAATATCCAGATTTTGTCTGGAGCATATCTCCTACATGTATGGAAGAATTTTTATAATACTTTATGGAAATGTTCACCACCATGATATGTATTGCTCCATGCATGATCCAGGTCTCCAGGTCAAAGGTCAAGGTCACACTTAGAGCTCATTGAAAAACGCTTGTCCGGAGCAAAACTTTCTACATTCATAGGGGTTTTCAATATAACTTGCACAAATGTTCACCATTGTGAGGCTGAGTGTCGCATGCAAAATTCAGATCCCTGCGACCAAAGTCAAGGTTACACATAGAGGTCAAAGTTCAGATAAAAATTTGAAGATGGTTATAGGGACCATTTAGTCATCATTTATTGATGGATTGTAGCACAAATGGTAACTATCATGACTACAGTGTACACATTTAATTTAGGTTAATATTTGCAAGGTCAAGGTCACTGGAGATGATTAAATACAGATGTTGTCCGGAGCATATTTTCTACATGCATGGAGGAATTTTAATGTTACTTTTATAGAATTGTTCACCACCATGAGACGTAGTGCCCTGTCTCTAGGTCAAAGGTGAAGGTCACAGTTAGAGCCCATAGAAAAACACTTGTCTGGAGCAAAACTTCTACATGCATAGAGGGATTTTCAATATAATTTGGCACAAATGTTCATCATTGTGAGGCTGAGTGCTGTGCATAAAATTCAGGTCCCTGCGACCAAGGTCAAGTCACAATTCTGTGCATATCTTCCCTATTTGATTTGTTTTAAGGTTCATTTAACAACACAGTGCCAAGAATAAAAACTTGCTTGCTAGATAACACTTATCCATAATGCCCCATCTCCATCTAAAGCTTTTTTCGTAAACGGGGCGTATTTGTGACTATGGCACCCTTGTTCACTATAAGTTCTTTATTTCTTAAGGTGTTACTTTCAAAACGTTAAATATAAGTTTCTGGTCATCAACCACATCATATTGGACAAGGTTTGCAACTCTAGCACAACAATTATCAGTATTACCTCCTTGAATTTAGAAGTTTTTATGAAAAAATGTCTTTTTTTAATAAAAAAATTCTTTAACTTCATTAATTTTTCCTAATGTATCTACTTAAAACTTCATTTATATGTTTATTATCACTCAACATTTTTGAGAAGGTTAAATATTCTAGAAGACTATTTCCAGAAATTATGCCCCCTTGAACTTAGATTTTTTTCGAGAAATTGGTATTTTTCACTCCAACGTCTTCATTCCTTATAGGATTTACTTTAAATCCCACATCGTAATAATATGACAAGGTTGTATAAACATAATTTTCCTTACTAGGCAGGGAAACTTAACACATTACTGTGATATAGACAAACTTAGAACTCAAAAGATTTAAGTTCATTCATGTCCATTCATTCACTGGTAAAATTGAATGGCCAATGGCCCATCAGAATGTTGCTGGGGTTCTAACCGGTAGGGGACTTACGGATTGCTTGCAATACTATGATAATTGCTTGTTTATTATTGTATTTGTTTGACCTAGCGAGTATACCATATATAATGAGACTTCCTAGAAATTTTCCTTGCGACTTCCCCGGTTGATGGATGGTCTTTCACTGACTCTTGTTCACCATGCAAAGTTTTACAAAAAAAAAAACATACTCACTGATGCTCTCTAACAACTTGTTTCACTAATGTGACGCAATATGGTTAGCTGAGATGCAGTTTTATTGCTCGACTATTTATAGAATGTAATTGCCCAGGCGTTGGCGGCGAGGTCACACGTTGGTGTAACTAAGTATCTCCAAAACTACTTAGGGGAATAGGTTAAAACTTCACACCCGAGATTATTAAACATGCTTGGTGGGCACAGGTCCTATAACTCTAAGTTATATTTTAACAGAGTCATGCCCCTTTTATCACTGACAAGCACTGTTAATAGTTTAGAGCTCTGTCTAATGCACAGGCTCTTACTTAAATACTTAAAAAATCTACTAGAAAATGCTGTGTGGTATGATGCATTCATTATTTTCTTTTATTATATGTCTATATGTTGAAATCTCTAGCTTTGGAAAAAAAATATTCAGTCCAAACGTTGGTACTGCTAATTTGTCTGACTGTATATAATTTATAACATTGAATATAGTTTGTCACATGCAACATTTGCTTTATCTGTTACAGTCAACCCGAAAATATATTAGCAAGGAACCAATCTATTTCTTTGCTGAAGTTGAATATGCAAATGAAAAAAACTGAGATTTACAGTCACTCGGATCATAGCCATGTTTTTAATGACAATTACCTCTGTGAAAAAGTATTTTACTATAATTGGTTAAACCTGATCTAGTTATTCAAGGTCATACTTCATCTTTCTGAAATTTCAGATAAGCAATATGGTAGGATGGAGTACGAATCATGCCTTGCTTTTAATGCAAGATTTTCCGTGCATGTTGATGAATACTTTATCACATACGTTGTATCCTCTGTTTAAAGTAATTTGTATGTATATTCATACTTATTGTAATCAGATGTAAATGTAAGGGATAAATACTAAATAGGTCCAGTTGAAAGTTTTTCTAAAACTAGCGTCTTCTGTTCGATAATCTATTGCTCAAACGGTATGTATATATTATATTTTCCATATTTATACATCAATTTATTGTATTGTAAGATAAGTTGCTCATGTAGAATCAAGTATGAAACTTGGGTTGTTTTACATTTACTCTTGTTATTTTCATTTATCTTAGTTGATTCATATAAATTAGATAAATAAATGACCGAAAAGATAAGTACTTAATTTTTTTTAATGGACACCGAAGCATGTTTAATGGGGTCATTAGATAAATGTTGGTTCAGAATTACAATATGTTATTTAGAACATAGTTTTTTTTAAATTATCGTTATCCTTTGCTAAGTGTAGTGAAATATTTTATAGATCTGAAAATATGGAGGCCCCTACCAGTCCTGACCAGATAATACATGACCTTGGAGGTTGTGGACGTTACCAGATTCGGATGAACGTAATTGTTCACGTGATCAAAATTGTCGTCTGCTGGAGTGCTAGCGCAATGGTCATTGTATCAGCAACACCGAACTGGTGGTGTAATGATGATGTTGTTTTAAACGAACTAAACATGACGTCCTGTAGATCGGTTGAAAACGGAAGTGAAGTCATAGCTTGTCCAATGAAGTCTTGTTTTGCAATTAATGAAACAAAATGCTCAAGTTTTGCTTTCGCCCCTGGCATGAATACAATCGTTAGCGAGGTAAATAATGAAACAAAGTTGATACGCCATACATAGTTACATTTTTGCTACTATGCACACATTCCTGTCATTTGTATTACGGTTCTTATTTATTAAGTATATGTTTTCATATTGATTTATTGAAAGAATTCAACATTTTCATACAATATTTAAAAGGAAATTTAATAGATCTTATATTTCATACAAATAACATACATTATAAATGATTTTACATCTATCGATGTCTAGTTTGAGTTGGTCTGTGGAAAATCGTATATCCCAAGTACAGTGATGTCGGTTCAAGTTGGAGGGACTCTGGCTGGCAATATTATGGCAGGTCAAATAGCAGATCTCATAGGACGTAAACGCCCCTTCTTCTCTTCTATTGTAACAATTCTTGTTTTCAATTTGATCGGCTACTTCTCCGTCAACTGGATAATGTTTGCGGTGGCAAGATTCTTTGTTGGCATTGGAATGGGCTTTTTCCTGTCAATACAGTACAGTTTGCTGTCGGAGTTTTCTTTAGCCAAATGGCGCGTTTGGATAATAGGATTTCCGTCATGGCCAATAGAAGCGTGTATATTTGCTCTGGTTGCGTGGCTTGTACAAGACTGGAGATACATACAGCTAATAATAGCGATATTGTCTGTACCTTGCCTGGTAGCATGGTTGTAAGTAATTCTATATTGTTTTATATGGTTATATAATGTGTTTGCTATCCAGAAATATCTAATTGTTTTAGAACAAAAAAAAACATGTAAATTGTAATATAGTCATACTATAACATACTATTAAAAGGCAAACCAATGCTTTAATAGATATTGAAAACTGCTTTTTATGTATAATTGTTGTAAAATTGTCATATTTTCTAAGAATCTACATATATATTGTTATGATAGTTCTTAAATACGTCATCTACCGACAAATTGTTAGGATATTGGTCAATACCGTCATTCTCAGAAAAGTTGCTATACGTCTGCTACGGACAAAATGTTACCTAGGATAATGATCAATTGCGTTGCCTTTCATACCATGCTTTCTAATGTACCAAAATAGGTATGTTAGTTTTATTTTCATTTCAAATTTGTAAGAAAAAAAATAAAACCAATTATAATTTATGGAAATTTACAGAAGTTCGTCCGATTCCGAGCAGCCGCACCTCTTGACCCCTCTGTCTAACGGAAAACCGACTTTAGGAAATCTAGCTGAGAATTCGCCCCCTTTAACACAAATGCCTTTATACCCTGAATGTGATTCATAATTTGTGAAAAACTTGTTGATTATTTAAGAATCAGCTTATTAACAGTGTAACATTATAATGAAACAACGTATTGCAACATATATGTTAACATAATTATTACAGCTATATTCCGGAAAGCTTTCGTTGGTATATTGCGCATGACAGGCCTGACGATGCGGAGAAGATTATTAAACAAGTGGCAGACTACAACAAACGAGAATTAACGGATATATCTCATCATCTAGAAAATCAAAAAGATACAAAAGATAGAAAATATACTTTTCTTGATTTGTTTAAGTCGAGGCAGTTAATCAGGATCACGTTATTATCTACCTTGAACTGGTGAGAAAGTTGTACATCTTTCAATTGTTCAGGAGCTCAAAATATGTTTGTTCCTTATATATAATTCACAAAGTAGGTTTGATCGATGATTTAGTTTACATTTCTTTGACCAAAACGTGTAAAAATGATGGCTAACGTTACTATCATACCGGTGATTACTTTATTGCAAAATACAGCCAATTTTAAAGATCCTGCATGTCGTAATTAAAGATGTTACAATGATTTTGGTAGTAGTTTACCCTTCCTCTTCATGCCACTAAGTTACTTTGAAATCACCGGAGCACAGTGCTGACACCGCATCGTTCCTGGGCATGCTATCAAGCAGTTAACCAGTACTAGTTGGTTACCTCACATTCGCAAAGAACTTACAGCTTCTGTACATGGCGGAACAGAGGTACAGTGCGAATGACCGTAGAAAGAAAAAACAATCTTAGTTTATGCTTTATTTTCAGGATAGGGCTCGGCCTTGTTTCATATGGTATTTCTTTTGGCGTGCAATCGTTGTCTGGGAATCTGTATCTAAACTTCTTTCTCTTCTCATTGACCGGTGTCCCGTCTAAAACGATTGCACTTTGGCTGCAAAATAGGTAAATATATCACAAGAGTATAAGTTTAATAGTAATAATTTATTTCCTTTAAAATGGTTATATTAATTACATATAGATATACCATCGTTGTTTATAATATATGTTCAGAATATTAGATTAAATATCGATAGCTACATGGGATCATGTAGACGCTGAATGATACACTTACTTAAAGGCCCATCAAGCCTCGAAATTGCAAGTCTTTTTCATTTTTCTAAAGCTTACGAATGTTGGTAGCCTGTTCAGTTTCTTGAGGGTTAATATACATGTATAGTTACCGTATAGCTAAATCATCCTTTGAAAAATAGTTCTGTAAAGGTAATTTAGTACTGTGAATTGAAGTCATAATATTATTTTGTTTACATTTTGCTACCTCTATCCACCATTAGAACACCATTATAAAACTCATAATTGTCCTTTCTACAGAAAGAAAAAATAATTCCGAGGCCTAAAGAGTCTTTAATATTTGTATTTGTAGATTCGGACGGAAGAAGACGACTATACTGTGTTACACTTGTGTTGCAATTGGTGGCTTTGTTGTTGGTATTGTTCAAACAATTGGTACTACTTTATACAATATTATTGCATATACATTTGTATGTGAGAAAACCACAGATTCGTAATACATTTGAGAACGTGCAAATTCGTTTATATACATACGTGAGAACATACAAATTCATTCTTAATATTAATGGATTTTAGTTGCCATGATAAAATTAGGACAAATTTTCCATAAGTGACTTCTTATTTTACGAATGTTTGTATAAATCAACTAATAGTAGACGTCGATTGTTTCATTTTATTGGGATATTTAACTAAAGGATAAGCAAAATTGGTCGCAAAAATTCAGTGGATAGTGAAAACATCACTCAATTGTTATGTGTATATGTTATTTGTTTCAGATGCCCCGCATAAAGATGAAATAACCAATGCATTTGCTCTTGTTGCCAATATTGGTATTTACACAGCCTGGGGACCGGTGCAACTTATGACTATTGAACTTTACCCAACAGTTATAAGGTAAAATACTATTGTCTTGATTATTTTATATCTGAAAAGAAACAACAACAACAACAACAAAAACAACAGAATTCGTTCTACAAACTACGTGTATGTAAAAAAATCCAGAGGCTATCAACATGTAGAAATCATAATTTCATGTAAAAGCAACATTTATAGCCGACGCATGTTGTATATTATTTATTTATATACAATTCCTATACTATACTGTCGCATAATGAAATCCCTCAAATTTTGATTGAATTGTTCGGAACATCCATGACAAAAAGAGGAGGGCATGAGACTCGAAGCTAGGATATTTAAAAAAAATTAGTTACTTTTTTTATGAGCGGATGCAGTACAAATCCTATTTATTATTCTCAATAATTGTATAAATATTAAATGTCTAATCTCTAAAAACATAATGACATTTGTGATTTGATACATCCAATACAAAGTTAAATTTCGTATGATAGATACACCGTGTACAGTTTACGTTTGGGTGTTATTTGTAACGGTTTATTATGCTAGGACTATCGGATTTGGAAGTTTGAGCGTCATGGCAAGAATTGGGGCTATGGTTGGACCACAGCTTGTTTATTTGGTAAATACCATTGAAATAATTATATTGTTTCCTTGTTTTAAGTAATATTTACATTTTCATAGACACTTGAGGTGTGAGCTCCAAACGCCTGAAAATTAAATAAATAGTATATTTGTTGGTCTCAGCACATACACTTATCATTTAACTCAATAAAACTCAATACGCTGTTTTAAAAACAGCTCTTGGAAATGAATTACAATGTAGTTTGAAGTATTGCTGTTTATTTGCTAGGGTATATCATGAAGATATTAAATATTGTCGAGTACTATATATTGTACTGAATTATATTCGTCAAACCTGTATTAGACAAGGCGATATCCGAATCTGACATAAGTTTAGTAGCTGTGTACAAGTCCAACAGAATCAGTATTGTTTTCAACAATTGTTAACAATGATCAATGTTTAAAACCACCATTCTTTTTACATTTTGACAGAATTTTGTTACTTCTATAGTACAATAAGGATATGGATTTTTTTGGGACGAGTCTAAACGAAGTACAATACTGATTTGATGTGGACGTTTAGGACTCGAAAAATGAAAACGAAGCTAAATTGATAACATTGGATCCGATAATGATATGAGCCGCGTCACGACAAAACCAACATAGTGCGTTTGCGACAAGCATGGATCCAGACTAGCCTGCGCATCCGCGCAATCTGATCAGGATCCATGCTCTTCGCTATCAGTTTCTCTACTTGTTATAGACTTGGTAAGCGAACAGCATGGATCCTGATCAGAATGCGCGGATGCGTAGGCTGGTCTGGATCCATGCTGGTTGCAAAACCGCTATGTTGGTTTTGTCATGGCGCGGCTCATATATATTTGGAGATCACATATAGTACAAATGCTGGAAGTTCATTAAATTATTGATAAATTTAATAAGATGTGCTTCATTTTATTGTACTATCTAAATATTGTTTAATTTAAAAGTCCCATGTACTACTACTGTAGTGTTAATACACAATTGTATATTTTTTACAGAATATGTTTGTACCAGGATTGTTGTACTATGTATGTGGAGCAGTTGCTATATTGAGTATTCTAGCATGTCTTGGACTTCCGGAAACTATGAATGCTAATCTAAGTGACAAAATTTCAGATGCAAGGGGTAAAATGACACTACAAGAGAAATGATCGATGTTTATTGTACTAAAATGAAATCACTACGATGTGTTACACAGAATATAGTTTGAGAGAAAATGTATGGTGGCTGATTTGGAACGCGTCTGTGCGTCATGTTGTCGCTAAGGGCGATTTGTCGGTCTTTCGTCCTGTCGTCCAGTCGCTAACGATGTATGCCAAACGGCGCGTTGTCATGCGGCATGTTGTCGCGATGTCACATTGTCGCTCGGCTCAAATCGAAGGTTTGACTTATAAACCAAGCGACAGGATGACATCGGAACAACACGCCGCACGACAACGCACCGTTTGGCGTACTTCGCTAGAGACAGGACGACAAGACGACAGTTCGACAACGCGCCGTTTGGCGCGTTTCGCTAGCGACAAGACGACGAGACGAAAATGAGATTACGATATAGGTTGTGTTGTCGCTATCGTCAACGTAACGCGCAAAGTGTATCAAATCAGCCACCGAAAAATTATAATTATGTAATTTATTTGCAAGCATTTTCCTTTATATTGACGTTATATCTATGTCGTTGGACAGTGGGCAAGACGTGTACACGTGATAGGGTCAAGACGTCAATCAACGACTACCTGAATTGTCACAAAAATCCTCTATGATGTTATTCGTCTAAGTTTTTACACAGCTATCGATAAAAATGCCCATAAGATGTTATAGGAGTCCGAAATACTCAGAAAATCATTCAGTTTTTTTGTTTCAAGTGTGCTTTAAGTGTGCATACTGATATTAAATTATAAAAACACAGTTTATGCAATTAATGGGCGACAGAGTATTGAAATTATATGTAATTTTATTTACAAAATGAATAAATCTTTTTAAATATACCCTTCAGATAACTTATTTTCCTTCGGACTGGGTAAAATACCCGTAAATATATGTAGGTTCATCGTAGAAGATGCTTTAGGTTGGCGTTTTTACCGTATATGTGTCAAGTAACGCAGGAATGTGCAATTAACGAAAAAAGTAACGCAGAATCTGTGCAAAGATATGACCAAAAATTGTAACAGGGTGAGTAAACGTACCAAAATATTTTTATCGAGATATTTTTAAACGCATACGCCTGCTATGACATTACACTTTACCCAGCATTACAAATATTTCCTGGAATATGTTTAGATTATTCGTGAGAATGACGATCTGATTACCGTTTTGAAGGGGACTTTTTAGTCAGACACAGTCGTTCGGCGCGTTGATTGGTCACTACCCCCTCCCTCTATAACCCCAGCTTTTCTCAAACAATCTAAACTGCGGTGTTTTTTTCATGTCACGTGCGTTTGAATACCATATATATATATATATGTTTGTCTTTAATTCACAAATTAATTTATTTATCTATTCAATGCACAAACAAACAAATGAAAAATATATCAATGATACAATCTATTTATTCAACAATCAAATGAATGAATTTTAAAATGAGATACAAAGTTGGTACAACAGGATATTTATGGTTATACATACTATCTGGAACTGAAGTGTGATATAGATTAAACGAGACGGCTATGATGGCCCTAAAATCGCTCACCTGAATATAGAAACTCTTCACGAAAAGGAAGTGTAGAATTGTGCACTGTAAACAAAAGCAGATTGAAAATCTAAATTGATATCACAAAGTTCATGTGTTAAAAAAGATGTGTACATAAAATGAAAATTTTTTACCATATACATATAAAGAAAATCAATAACAACTGGGCGGGCCAATTTTGAACAAGGGCTTTCATTTAAACAAACTTGGTAGACACCTATTAGTAGATGTTTCGTGCTAACTATCTAAGCTCTAGCTCTTTGGGTTTCTGAAAAGACTTTTCAAGTTTTTACACTATACATATAGAAAAATCAATGACCCCCAGTGTGGGGACAATTTTGAAGACAGCCACTAGAAGATGTTTCATAAAAGATGTTTTTTGTTTGTTTTAACTATATACATAAAATGTAAAAGGAAAATCAATGACCCCCGCCCCCTGGTGCGGGGCTTATTTTGACCCCAGGGCTTTTATTTGAACAAACTTGGAAGACAGTCACTAGAAGATGTTTCATGCCAAATATCTAAGCTCAAGCTCTTTGGGGTTTTTACTATATACATATAAGGAAAATCAATGACCCCAGGGGTGGGGGGGGGGCAATTTTGACTCTAGGGCTTTTATTTGAACAAATTTGGTATACACTTACTAGAAATCATTTCATGCTTAATATCTAAGCTCTACCTATTGTTTTTTTAAGAAGATCTTTTAAAGTTTTTAATCTTTACATATAAGGAAAATTAATGACCCCGGGGCGGGGCCAATTTTGACCCCAGAACTTTTATTCAAACAAAGTTGGTTGAAACTCACAAAGATGTTTCATGCCAATTATCTAAGCTCTAGCTCTTTGTTTTATTTTAAGAAGATATTTTAAGATTTTTATTTCGGTTACCATGGCAACCAGAGTTCAGCATGGAATTTGACAGTTTGGATTCTGACCACCAAAGGAACAGTCCTGTGAAGTTTTGATGCAATTGGCTTAGCGGTTTAAGAGGAGATGTCGTTTAAAATAAAATTTTACGGACCGACAACGCACGGACGCCGGACGAAAAGCGATCACAAGGGCTCACCATGTCAATTTGTGACAGGTGAGCTAAAAAATACTGTATATCTAGATAATGTTACACTAAGACATTCACCATTTCTATTAACACACAGCGATCTAGTTTAAATATACACATATAATCATTTATTTTTGTCTATCATTTAAATCTTTAACCTGCTGGTAAGCAACATATTTGACCATTGCGACAAGTTTTAGTGCAGACTATTATATATGAATGAACGAAAGAAGATCAAAACATAATTGTTTTACTTATGATTTAAGTGATATGTATGTAACAAAACATTTTGCTATTGCCAAAGTTACTTGAAAGCAAAGAACATACGTCTGATAAAACGTCACTGTACTAATTCTTTACAATTCATGAACACAACAATATGGTTGTTGGAATAGATGTAAATCAAGAACAACAACAAAATAACAACGTCAACAACAATAATAACAACAACAACAATAATGTACACCTCATTAAATCAAACAGTCAAGGGTTCAAAACATCTTGTCGATGATTTTGTTAATATTGTTCGACCACCGGTATGCCCGTCAGTACTCCTTAAAGTTATTTTTCCAATCGATGATGACGTCATACTTTCTCTTGTGCAAGTACTTGTAGCTGACGTCGTAACGTTGCCATTGGAGCACGCATGCTCATACGGTTGTGATGAAGCAGAAACACGTTTGGTGCACTGATGATTTTCCAATTTTAAATGAAGTAGATGTTTAACCTTTCTAAGTAATTTGACTTCTTTGGAAAGTTCACCATTTATCTTCTGCAATTCATCAACTTCCTACAAAAAAGTAATCAAAAAGGTCATTATAAATGAAGAGCATCCCAAACCTTGTTGTGATTGAGATTTTCATCTGACACTTGTTGTTTCATAAGAACAAAAAACAACAGAACTATAGAATCTATATAGAACTAATAGTATAGATCTATAGTCCATTACTGAATTGCTCATTTCAGTGACCAGTAGAATAGTTTTAAACAACAATAATTAAAAATTGTTTAAAAAAATGGCACTAAATTTTTTTTTCACAGATCTTTCCGATCACCCCTTATATTATTTGATTTACATACATGTATACTGAGCATATGTTCTGCATCTTTCATTTAAGACAGTAACATTACAAAATCATTGTGCATGAACAACCCAAGCGATAGAAAATATTAATACAAAATATTGAAGACATTGATTAATTAAGATGGCTACAGTACACGATAAGTAATTATGTAGAATACAAGATGGAGTAGAAATATCAGACACAAAACGTACGAGTTTTTAGGTAATAACTCGTAACCCGTAAACATAAATATTATTTACTAAGCTACTATTATTCAAGTTTTTATTTGTTATTATATCAGAAAATTTCCATATTACATGTATCAGAAAATTTCCAATATTCGTATACAATTTCAGTAAAAAAATGGCCAAATGCAAAGAACAGTTGTAGAACTTGGCTGATGATCTTGGTTGTGACAATTCATGCAAATTTAAGTTTAAACTTGGTGCATTTACTGGTTTAAAAGATATTCGAAAAATGTTGACAGTTTAAAAAAAATCATTCAAGAGGGATTGTGTTTGTTATAAGATATTGAGGACGCGCAATACGGAACAGGACGGGACAAAGTGACTGCTATTAGGTTTTAAAATAAGTTCATGCATAGTAGGTCAATATCAAAGTTAATGCGAGTGCACACTATTTCTACGTAAAATACTTTATTCAAATTTCATTGAAACATTATATCTCTTCCGCGTACGATATTGAACTGTATATTATATGTTCGATGATTTATTACCTTACATTTCTTTTAAACAGTTATTCGTACCCTTTTTATATCACATATCATTATTGTATTCAATACATTCAAAATGTTTTACCAACTTCACTATTTAGAAATTCCTTCTTAAAAACAAGTTTGCACTTTAAGAACGTGATTAAAACCAGATAACAATAGCATTTCTAAAAACACTTATATTTGTTCATTATACATAATTTTACTTTCCTGTTAATAAGATAATAAAAGGTCCATTTAAAGTAGTTAATTGTCTCTATATGAAAGCTTAAAGTACCGGAAACAGTTTACGAAGGTAAACCATTTTTTGTTATAATAAATGTATACATTTCTAAGCAACAGGAATGTTATATACAGTTTGAAGAACGAACGAACGAATGAACGAATGAATGTCTTTTTCAATTGAAAGGTTTTGATGTTGAGATGTTTACTTTATAATAATAAACGCTTTATAATATTAAAAATGCAATATGAAAATCACGAATGTGACATTTTAAGTAACAGAAAATGTACATGTAATCTATACAGATTTCAAGGCTTTATTGACCTCTGTTAGATAACATTTGTAATTTGGTGAACACGTCATTAACAAACTACTATCTCGGAATGAAAAGAATCACCCCATCCCCCTCGAGAAAAAATAACTAATATGCAAATTTGTGTAATTGATCTTTTTAAATGCAATAAAATACTCCAAAATTGGTCAAACTGCACATTTAATATTGTTTATGGAGTAAAAAAAATCTAAAAATATTTAATTTCGCGCTCATTTCTTTTTGAATTATTTTCATCAGTGCTTGCTTTTTAAGTTTGCCTATATATCTTCTTCGGGTGTTGATACTGCTGGATCAATTTCTTATTTAATATAATGTAATATCTAGTACGATATTATTCATGCTATAAATTCATCACAAAAATTTAATGTTAAGACATTAAAAAAATTCCCGGGCATTAACTGTTTCTCGTTTATTACCAGTTATACATATCGTTCAATGAATTTTGTCAGAGTGACAGCCCTTTTATGATTTTTAGTTTTATTTTTAAATCGTATTTTCTCTGCTGTAATTATAATGAAATTTTACTGGATTGTTCGGTACATCAAGTTCTTGCGCATATTTTGGGGCTTTTTAGTTGAATGCTTTTTGGCTGAGTTATGGTCTTTAAATAAAAAAGTCGTTTTGGCCCGTTAATGATTTTTGTACAGAGAACATTAAAATCACTCCTCAATACAACTGCTTAATTGGCTATCATCAAGTGACCCATGTGATGACTGATCGTTTTTGTTGCTTAATTATCCCCTGGTTTTTTTTTAGAATATTTTCCTTATTTTCTCAAAAAACTTCACAGAAATGTATGACTTTTGTAAAACAATTATATCAGTTTCATTATAAAATGAAAATATGGGGAAATAATATGAATTTAGAATATGTACGATGATTTGAATAACATATACATTTAAAAAAAAATATATACACAGGGTGTTTCATAATATGTGATACACTTTTAATCAAATGTTTCGTTTATGTAAGAATGTCAGTAATAATGAAAAATGTACCATATTAAAGGGAAATGCTGTCCATTTATAAAAGTGTAGTTTTTTCCTTATTTAACCTACCAATAATATTTTTTAGCTACGCTTGAAAACAGGGTCCATTTATAGTATATACTCAAAATGACGTCCATTATGGCGTCGCATCATCTTCATACATTTCATGAAGTTTTCCATCACATTATTGCCATGTCACTAGTAATCTTTTTTTATTTCACATCTTATGGACTGCTTAAGCTGATCTGTTGTCTTTGGTTGCACTTTGTAGACTCTGTCCTTGAGATAGCCTCAAAGAAAAAAATCAAAAGGACTGAGATCCGGAGAGTGGGCGGTCACGAGTCTTCAGAGAGATGAATCGTTTGTCAAATGTTTTTTAAGCCATTCAAGAACTCTCTGGGCCGTGTGTGGAGCGGCACCATCTTGTTGGAACCATGTTTGTGTCATACTAACCCCTTTCCAACGGAGTGCAGACAGAAACTTGTATTTTAGAAGAGACAAATAGCGATCACTGTTGATTGTCTCGGTATTTCAGTCTTGGTCTTGGAAAAAGAATGGCCCTGGTTACGGTGTCTCTGGCCAAGTACACTTCCATGCTGCTCAAATCTTTTAACTACTCTGCTTACTTGTAGCCAGGTTACCCTTCTATCGGCAGGGTACATTTTCCTCATTCTTCTAGTTACAGATATGATAGAATGGTGTTCATAGTACAATTTTATGATATCTTGACACTTTTCCATGGACAACGCCATCTTGAAAATAAGAGATAATAATGACGTCATACATGACGTCATGACGTTAACGTTTTCCAGTATTTTACGACGCATTCAAAATGGTAAAGTGTCTAGTTTATTTTGGTATAAGCATTTTGTTTGTAGCTATAAAATCAGTAAAGCAACACTTATTTGAAAGTGTATCACATATTATGAAACGCCCTGTATATATCAGTTTTAAAACTGTAGTTAAATTTTACGTAATTATAGTAATTAGTAATTAAAGTTATTTACAGGAAAATCTTAATATTGTCGATAGTGCTATTAAGTTATGAACGATTTATAAAGAAAATGATGTTGGTAAAAATTAATTTTTATTTGATAAATATAAATCAAAAGTAATGGGTAGATTTGCTTTTTGATACATGTAACATGTGTTCTTAAAACATAAAATGAATGGTATATAAATAGATATTTAATATAAATTATATTAATAGATATAGAATATTATAACATATCCATAAATATTCGTTTCTTCTTATTTCTTCTTATTTGTAAATAAACTACATTTTGTATTACAAGACTTGAACAAACACCTTTCAAAAGTTCAGATTTCTATCCACGTGTCTTAAAAAGACAGAAACGAAAATATATTAAAGGCCCTTTATGCCCAAGAATGGCTTTTATTGTTATTTCTAAAAAGATTTTCATTTTTAATATCCATTTATAGTTTCCAAAAGAGTTATTGATTTGCAAATTACGTGAATCATCTTTTGCTTCTCTTGCTTTTTGGCAGTAAGTACACTTATAGTGATTTAATGTTTTTAACGAAAGTCAAAATACTACTTTGTTTACATTTTGCTACTTTTATGACAAGTAATTCAGATTCAGAGCTACTTGCTTCAGGTTGTAAGCATCTAACATTCTCTAAAATCAGAAGGTTACGATACTCATATTTTCCTCTTCTAAAGAATGAAATATGTATTTGTTTCTGAATTGGGAATAGTAAACAGTATTATTCAAATACTAAACAAGGGGGAGGGGGGCATTGGCACCAAAGCGCTCACCTGAAGACATACTGTTATTTTTGTTAGGGCCAATTTTAACAATAGTAGCAAGTATTGAACAACTATGGTACAGGGCCTATAGATGGTATTATATTCCAAATATCTAAGCTCAAAGCATTGTACCTTCAGACGAGATGATTTTTTAAGTTTTTACAATATACATATAAGAAAAACCTATGAACCCCGGGGCGGGGCCAATTTTGACCTCAGAAATATAATTTGAACAATCTTGGTAAAGTTCCACTACAAAATGCTCCATGTAAGATATCTTACCTGTAGCCTTTGTCAACTCAGAGGAGAAGATTTTCTAATTTTTTTTACTATATATACGGATAAGGAAAACCTATGACCCCAGGGGTTGTGCCTATTTTGACACTTGCTGCAAAATATGAGCAACTTTCCAGGACCAATACATACTACCTAAGCTCTAAGCCTTGTACCGTCAGAAGAGTAGATCTTTTAAGTTTTTACTATATTCATATAACAAAAACCTATGACCCCGGGGCGAGGCAAGCTTTGACTTCAGGGCTATAATTTGAATAATCTTGGTAGAGGTTCACTACACAAAGCTTCATGCCAAATATCTTACCTCTTCAGAGGTGAGAATTTTTTAAGGTTTTACTATATATCCATAAAAGAAAACCTATGACCCCCCGGAGCGGGGCATATTAGACTAGGTGCAAAATTTGAATAACTTTCTTAGAGGACGTATAGATATTATATACCAAATATCTAAGCTCTAAGCCTGGTACTTCTGACAAGAAGTTTTTTTAAGTTTTTACTTTATATGCATACATGTATAAGGATAAACCTATGACCCCCGGAGCGGGCCTATTTTGACACTATGAGCAAAATTTGAACATTTTTTTAAAAGTTTTTACACAATACATATAAGGAAAACCTATGACCCCCAGGGAAGTGCCATTTTTGACCCAACGGCTATAATTTGAACAATCTTGGTAGAGTTCCACTATACAATGCTTCATGCCAAATATCTAACCTCTAGCCTTTGTCAATTCAGAGAAGAAGATTTTAAAGTCTACTTTATAAACATCTAAGATGGGGCCTAACCTCAAGTCTTTTTCAATTCAGAGGAGAAGATTTTTAATTTTTTACTTTTTATACACATAAAGAAAACCTATGACACCGGGGCGGGGCCTATTTTGACACTAGTGTCAAAATTTGAACAACTTTCATAGGGGACCAATAGATAATATTATATACCAAATATCTAAGCTCTAAGCCTTGTACCGTCAACCAAGAAGACTTTTAAAGTTTTAATTAAATACAAATATTGAAAACCTATGACACCGTGGCGGGGCCAATTTCTATCCCAGGGCTATAATTTACACAATGCTTCGTGCCAAATATCTAACCTCAAGTCTTTTTCAATTCAGAGGAGAAGATTTTTAATTTTTTACTTTTTATACACATAAAGAAAACCTATGACACCGGGACGGGGCCTATTTTGACACTAGGGGCAAAATTTGAACAAGTCTCATAGAGGACCTATAGATGATATCATATACCAAATACTTTATCTTTAAGCCTTGAACCTTCAAACGAGTATTTTTTTTTAGTTTTCATATAACCAAAACCTATGACCCCGGGGCGGGGCTAATTTTGACCACAGGGCTATAATTTGAGCAATCTAGGTAGAGTTCCACTACACAATGCTTCATGCAAAATATCTAACTTCTAGCCTTTGTCAATTCTGAGGAGAAAATTTTAAAGTTTTTACTATATATGCATATAAGGAAAACCTATGACCCCCTGGACAGGGCTAATTTTTACACTAGTGACAGAATTTCAATAACCTAATAACCTAAAGATAATATCATATAGCAAATATCAAAGCTCTAGGCCTTGTGCTTTCAGACAAGAAGATTTTAAGTTTGCAGTTTTGAAACACCTTTTTTGGCCCCCTGACCTACTTATTCATCCGACCGGAACCATTTGAACAATTTTGGCAGGGTACCACCCAATGATCATTTCTGTAAAGTCAATGGTTTCAGGGGGGCTTTTGTTTAAGCAAATTGTTAACGACGCACGACGACGCACGACGGACGGTGGGGGTCACATTAGTTCATCATGAGCACCTTGCGCTCAGGTGAGCTAAAATGCCAATTAAATGTCTATTAGCCAGTCTTTGAAAGTCAATAAAGATATTCTTCAAGACGCTCGTGACTTCAGTAGCGCAGTAATTCTGAAGGAACTATTTAAATGCGTGTACAGGCGTTATTTGTAGTGACAAAGAATATACTGCACGGTCTTGTGATATAACGATTAATGCCTGAATTTAAAGTAACTCCACTGAGGGTTTTTTACATGACGGGACTGGATATATTTTTTTTAAAGTTACATTTGATATAGGTCTAGACCAATAACTTAGGTGCAAAATTTCAGATCATTTGCTCAGTTTTTCCAGAAATACAATTCTAAATGTGGAGAACGATCTAACATTGAGCGTTGCAACGCTTTCTCTGAAATCGTGGCTAAAAACACAAAAATACGACGTTTTAACTTGTTTTCGAGTATATTTCTTTAATATTTTTGCACATCTATTTAAAGGCAAATTATGCCTCAAAAATCAGTATGTTTAAAATATTCTTTAGAAACGTCACATGTGTGTTAAATAATGTTGAAATAATAGATTAAGTATGTTAGATGTTTTACAACGAAAAAGACTAGCGCTGAACATGCAGTTGTCGTAAAGGTAGCAAAATGTAAACAAAGTAGTATTTTGACTTCCATACAAAATATTCATTCACCAAAAATCAGTGGGCATGCTGTAATTATACCAATTATGCCAACAGAACTAAAGATGAAAAGCAATAGTTCATGTGTATAGCAAATGAGTTTGTTTTTGGAAGCAAAACTGTAACAAGATAAAAAAAACAAAAAAACAACAACAGTTTTTGCGAAAAAAAAACAACAAAAAAAACATTTCTGAGACATAATGGGCCTTTAAGTGTGTATGCCGATCTTTGTAACAAATTCATATTTTGTATTTTTAAACTTTAGGACTTCAGCGGAATTCATTTAAGCTAAAAGTTAGTATGGGAAATAAAAATGTAACAGGGTTTCATACTGATAAAAGACAGTTTTACAGTAAACCAAGTGGAATGGGATATTTCAGAACTTTTTTTAGTTTCTTTTTTATTTAAATGCTGTTCAATTATAATTATGCATTTATCACAACATTGACGAATACAGAAAAAATATGTGCTGAAATATGCTTCATATGAGCATTAATAGCCATGTATTATTATTTTTTTTAATATTCAGATTATTATATGTGATAAGTCTAAACTATAGATAATAAACAAGTAATATATGTCTTATATCTATAAAACGTACGAAGTAGCCTATAGTATAACCTATATTGCATTGCACTATTATATTATTATACGTCCGCGCACAACGCCGTGAATCGAAACTAGCGTATGTGCCTGTTTACGAGACGAGACTTTACATTAGTTTCGATTACAATATCTCTAGGCCTAGTATAGAGATACGCACGTAGTAACATGTAACATAGTTGTAGTTGTCTATTGAAACATTTGTAAATCGCCTACCTACTATTAAATCAGTCTGGTAAAAAGGCTGTTTATCACTTAATTGGTTAGTGTTCATTAGTAAGTAATTAACAAAATAAATTTGTCGAACGACTGTGTCTATACTTAGTTTTGTTGACTTATAAACAAAAATAAAATGCACACATATTTCAGTCGTAATCTGACAAAGAAAAAAGAAAAAAGATTTCTACTAGGATAATATATATCTTATTGATAAGCAAACAATATGCAAAATGATGATAAAAAATAAGTAAAAGAAAAAGAAAACCTGTATGATAATTATTTCACAAAAATACAGCACAAACCTTTTCCAAAGTATCCTCCTGTTCTTTTCTCCGTTGCCGACTTTTGTTTGCTGACAATCTGTTACGATGCTTTCTCTTTTCCACTTTGACTTTCTCTTCATGCGTTAGCTTGAAGAAAAAATAAAAACAATACTAGTATATGCAAAGCCAAGTGGAAGTCTTTATTATTACATTTGCTAAGTCAAAAATAAGAGGTTCATTCACCGACATTTTTAAAAGAAATCTTACCGCATAGGATTTTGGAGGCTCGAACTTAACACGCAGTTCACCGACTCCCTCAGATTTTCTCCTGGTTTGAATCTTTGCTTTAAGTTCTTCTTTAAGACTTGTTTGCCTATTGATACCAGGTTGTGCCTGAGCAAATGAGACACTAGGAGACCGGACATTTTGTAGCTCTTGAGTTGAAGTATCGATTGATCTAAGAGCGTCGGCTAAACTCTGGTCACTCGATGCAACATTGGTCACCTCACTGACCTCGAAAGAATCATCATCATCGTCCCATTTTATTGAACTATTTTGCGATACTTGTGTCGCATTTGCGTAAGTGATAGGTGAATCGTCGTTGAGTATTTTTAAAAACGACTCTCCACTGTATTCCATTCTATAATTTCATCATAAAATTATTGCGTCACTTATAGCCAAACAAGGTGTGAGCAATAAATTCTTTTAGAGTTACTTGATTAGTGATTTCCACTAGGAAAGAGAACCACAATAATAATTGCACATTTGGTATTATGTAATGACACAAATAGTATTGATCCTTCGAGCCAATATTATCCTTAATTAATTCAATAATTAAGTAGTTGTTTCAAAATTTCACAGATAAGTATTCTTAGATCCTTGCAAGTGAAATGATACTTATTTGCACTGTATGCAATGATATACGCGACAAAAATTGAATCTTAAACATTCACAGAAATCGCGTCTTTCTTAGAACGAAGACGGGACACTATATATACAAAAATCGTTTTACAGCGGGAAGATTGTTTTGGGATTTTATTTTCTAATTATAGATTAACTATGGTACAAAGTGACACAAATACAATTAAAAACATATAGAAAGATTGTTATTTTGATATTGCTTAAAAATTATTGTATCAAACTTAAACAAATATTAACCCCACATGATTTAGTAATTTGATAATGCATTGTAAATGCGCGCGCAAACAAGTAAAAATAGAACCGAAACAGAAACTGCACTTCCTATTTATATCTAGTTCATGTACATTGTGACACGTGATACGTGTGATAAAAATACACCTTATTCTAAATATATTGTGTTTTTAAAAGTGTTTTAGCTAATGAACTTTACAATGGTTCTCACAAGTACTAGTAATTGAATCTGACATTTATAAATGTGTATTCATAGACAATTTTAAAATATGTAGCACGCTATACGCAATATACATGTACTTATCTACAGGCTAACCTGCTCATTATGACCAGGCCTACTATATTTGAGCAGTGTCACGACAAAACCAACATAATGGGTTTTCGACCAGCATGGATCCAGACCAGCCTGCGCTTCCGCGCAGTCTGATCAGGATCCATGCTGTTCGCTTACCAACCCTATAACAAGTAGAGAAACTGATAGCGAACAGCATGGATCCTGATCAGACTGCGCGGATGCACAGGCTGGTCTGGATCCATGCTGGTCGCAAACGCACTATGTTGGTTTTTTCATGACACGGCTCATTTGGCTGCATATTTTTCTGTTCTCGAGTGGCAAAAATTTATTCACAAATTCTACTTAATCGTCTTACTTTATGGTCTATAAAACATAAAAAATAACGGACCATCAGTATGGGTTCCAAAAGTAGATTGCATTTTCATTTTACGCTCAATTACTGGTTGGGGAGATAACTTCGGCTGGTTGATAAACTCGGCTTTTTATAATTAAATCGAGTTATCGGAATTTTTAATGTAATCAAGCTCACCATCTCATACTATCGCTGGAATTCGACAATATCTTGAAATTTTGTCAAGTTTGGTAAGATATTTAAAAAATAACACAGACTTTTACCTGTTTGTTTACAAAACATGCCTATAAAAAGTACGGGAATCCCATTGTTGTGCGCATGTGCAGCAGATGCTCGTTTTGAGGCCCGCACAGGGGTACTTTTATATATTGACCGACTACCGATAAAGCAGACGACGTTTACGTATACATTTTGTAGATGAAATTCAGACTCACTTTTGTCTTGCTAACTCAGAAAAAAAGCTGATGACACAATTGTAATCTTTAAGTGGAATGGATTGAAAAGGCTGATGTTAAGTGCTCCTTTTATATGTTAATGTGTAGGTTGAATACCACTAAAATAATTTCTTCTTCACTCTGTTAAGCTAAGCAAAAATAAATAAGAATCACTAATTCTTAAAATACATATTTCGTTATACGTTAATAAATGATAATGCATGTGTTTTTACGTAAAAATGATTTATATGTTACATAGTACGTTGCATATAAATATCGTGTTATCATAGATATTCATTATACTAACGTAATGTTCAACAATTTTGGTAACAAATATTTTTTATTTGACATAAATAAACAGCAAAGAAATAATAAAATGTCTTAACATTTTATTTTACGTTTTAACTTACTCGTTTAAGAAGAAAAACAAAGAGCCGGAATTATCTACTCGCGCGCGTTAAAAATATCCTTTTTACGTACCTCTTCCAGGGCCTCTCTAAATTACCCGTTATGTTTCTAAATATAACTTTTATGGTGATACCGGAAAATCGAAGTGCTGAAGTTTATTATGGTGCAAGATTCATCAGAATACGTAAACAAATAAATGAAATATGCCCCCAAAACACGGTTTTTCGGCCGAGTTTATCTCCCAAACCAGTATAGTAAAAACGCTGTCATTGAAAAAGAAATTATATGTTGCTTTTGTAGGTTTCGAAAAATGCTTCGACAAATTAGAACGTGCGTATATTTTTTAATAAACTTATACAAGAAAAGTAAGCTCAAACTTCTTAAAAGCATGTATAGTAATGTTAACGCCGCAAATTCGATATAATAAACAAATATCACAAAATTTTGAATAAAATTTCGGCGTAAAACAGGGAGATCCGAGTTCAAGTTTGATATTCTTATTTTTCATAAACGATATTATAAATAATATCAATGCTAATATTGAAGGAATAATCAACTTTGATGATTTAACATTACCCATGCTACTTTTTGCAGACGACACTTCTTTATTTGCCCATACACCGGAAGCACTACAATCTATGTTAAATGACCTAGGTACATACTATAACACATGGAATCTTAAAGTAAATACAATAAAAACAAAGATTTTGATTTTCGAACAGGGTAGACACACTTCATATGACTTTTATTGTAATGAACAAAAATTAGAAATTGCAAACTCATTCAAATATCTTTCAAAAACGGAAGTTGGTACCGAACACAGAAACACATTTCTCAACATTCGATGTTTGCTTTACATAACCTTTTTATCGTATATAATCAACTTGAACTTAAAACAATTGATAAATGTAAATTATTTGATAGCTTAGTAGGATATATACTTAACTATGGTGTAGAGATATTTGGATATAATGAATGTAAAAATATTGAGTTAGTACACTGTAAATTTACTCGAACCTTGCTGGAATGTATGGAGAAGTCGGAAGATATCTGATGGCGATACATAGGAAAATTATAGTTATTAGATATTGGATGAAAATCTTGAAACTTTGTTATGATACCATTTTAAAAAAAGACATATAATTTCCTTAAAAAAGATACAGATAATGGGGTAACATACAATGGTAAAAACTGGGCGTATCAGGTTAAATGTATATTAGATAACATAGGTATGTCAAATATATGGGTATATCAGGATATAAGTGAAATAAATTTTCAATATATTAAATTAAGAATAATAGACATGTATAAACAATCTTGGTATGCTAATATTAATAATTCAAATAGATTGTCAACATTTAGTATATTTAAACATAATTTTGACCAAGAAAAATACATTAATGTAATCAATAATAATGCACACAGAATATCACTTACTAGGTTTAGATTATCAGCACATAATTTAGCGATAGAGACTGGAAGGCATAATAATACTCCTAGGGAAGATAGAAAATGTCAAAATTGTTCCATGAATCAAATCGAAGATGAATACCATCTCATGTTAGTATGCCCGAAATTCTATGATCTACGTAAAAACATATTAAAACCATATTACTGCAGGTGGCCAACACTACAAAAATTCGAAAATCTCATGATAAGTAAAAAAACGAAAACACTCAATAGTATAACACTTATTTTTATTTTGTGCGTTTAAAGACCGTCGTTAGAACATTTATTGTATTGTTTAATCTTTTATAGTATTATGTTGTACATTGTAAATGTGTGTTACATGCCTTATAACAATTTGTACTATTTAAACATGCACATTGTTTTTGTTTGTGATTTAATCTTATGTAGTGAAACATGTGTCAAGCTAGTCGTAATATTAGCAATAAGCAGATAACATATAGTAATATGGTGAATTACCATAGACCTATATTGTCAGTCTTTAGTGTTGAAATCTTCGAAAGGCTGACATAGATTGGTCGATTATCTCGAGATATAGTACCAATGTTTCATATCTTAAAATACCTTGACTTTCGAACTATTTTCATCAAGGTAATATGCTCCAGGATGAATCATATAAATTGTATCAATAAGATCTGTATGGCTGACAGTAATTGAAGTAATAAATAAAGAAATGTTTATAGCTGCAAATCACAATATTTTGTGGTACTAGTTTGGCACATGTTTTGACAGTATAAGCGGGAATGAAAGGGAAACAACTCGCACAAAAATAACCTATACACACTTGCAGAGTTCTCGCCCCGACAATACATTTCACACAATAGGAGAGATTTACCACCACGTCACTGATAACTGCTGTGTGGGCTACGTATACACACAATCTTAGAAGGTCGTACATTCACATGTAAACAATGATAGCATTTTCTTTAAAGTTAACATAAGATGATGTTCCTGGGGCAAAGTTTTAAAGATCAGAATTATCTGAACATATATTTTTTGTAATATTCAAAATGAAGAAAAAAATACAAAACTATTTTCTAAATAGTATTGACATATTTTATATATAAGATATGTGTGATGTTATAAAGGGTTAAATTTTTGCTAAACATCTACATGTACTTTAATTTTTATGTCTATATCAATCTTATAACAACTCGCTACATGTGTTCTATGAATTATCATTTTTATGTGAAATATGCCTGCTAATTGCTCAGTTTTGTTTCATTTTCATTTTCCCTTTTTGTCACCCTGTCAATGTTACTATGTTTTATGATTCTGAAAGGGTATTATATTTTAGCCATTGTTAAATGTATGCTTAAGACCCAAAACTGAGTGTTGTTAACATAAATATAATTTAAAACTTTATGCTTAGTTCATGTTCAGTTTTAAGTATTAAGCAAGTTAAAGTGACATTATGCTCATATTTTCATAGTCAATTTGAGCTGAATTGACTTTATATTTCAAAGGATTGTCTGTTAAAATGGCGATATTTGAAAATGTTTGGGATAAATTTAATTTATTTAAAAAGTTGACAAAATCCCCAGTTAAACATGTTTACAGCAGCTAATATAAAAAAGAAAAGGCAACATAATTACTCAAAATAGTCATGTGTCACATCTGTGGTTGGAAAAAAATCTGGGATCAGGTAGATATGATATAGACCTCCGTGAATTTATTTCAGAATACAAGTACACCTCTAAAACTATATCATACTTATAAGCTAGGCATTATATATTTGATGTTGTTAAATAATTATAACTTTTTTTAAGGCCACATATTATAACAAATATCTAAACAATGTCTTTATAATTGTTCGAATATTTCTTTTCCCTACAGTTTTATTTATTTTCAATAAAAATAAATAAGATAAGAAGGATTGTTTTGTTTATATAATTTTGTAGTCAGTACCTTTAA